ACAAGTTTGTTAGATTGTATGTGACAGCTGTCATATCAGCGTGCATGTAAAAAAACCCATCAAAATTGGTGAATTTTTGTGTAGCCATTTTAATACTGAAGATGGAAGAAAAAAGCAACATTTCCAGCACAGTATGCTTTATTATTTCAAGAAAGGTAAAAACACAACTGAAACCCAAAAAAGATTTGTGCAGTGTTTCGAGAAGGAGCTGTGACTGATCGAACGTGTCAGAAGTGGTTTGCGAAGTTTTGTGCTGGAGATTTCTCACTGGACGATGCTCCACGGTCCAGCAGACCAGCTGAAGTTGATAGTGATCAAATCAAGACATCAATTGAGAACAATCAACATTGTACCACGCAGGAGATAGCCGGCATACTCAAAATACCCAAATCAAGCACTGAAAATCATTTGCACCAGCTTGGTTATGTTCATCGCTTTGATGTTTGGGTTCCACATAAGTTAAGTGGAAAAAAACCTTCTTGACTGTATTTCCACATGCGATTCTTTACTTAAACGTAATGAAAACGTTCCATCTTTAAAACCAATTGTAATGGGCAATGAAAAGTGGATACTGTACAATAATGTGGAACAGAAGAGATCGTGGGGCAAGCTACATGAACCACCACCAACCACGCCAAAGCCCGGTCTTCATCCAAAGAAAGTGATGTTGTGTATACGGTGGGATTGGAAGGGAGTCCTTTATCATGAGCTCCTTCCGGAAAACCAAACGATTAATTCCAACAAGTACCGCTCCCAGTTAGACCAACTGAAAGCAGCACTCGACAAAAGGTGTCCAGAACTAGTCAAGAGAAAATGCATAATCTTCCATCAGGATAACGCAAGACCGCCTGTTTCTTTGATGACTAGGCAAAAACTGTTACAGCTCTGCTGGGTAGTTCTGATTCATCTACTGTATTCACCAGACATTGCACCTTCAGATTTCCATTGATTTCAGTCTTTACAAAATTCTCTTAATGGAAAAAATTTCAATTTCCTGGAAGACTGTAAAAGGCACCTGGAACTGTTCTTTGCTCAAAAAGATAAAAAGTTTTGGGAAGATGCAATTATGAAGTTGCCTGAAAAATGGCAGAAGGTAATGGAACAAAAGGGCGAATACATTGTTCAATAAAGTCCTTGGTGAAAATGAAAAATGTATCTTTTATTTTTACTTAAAAACCAAAGGAACTTTTTGGCCAACCCAATACAACATAGTACAGTTAATTAGTTAATCCTTGGAAACTTGTTTAAAGAAAAGTTGGAGAAACATTAACCTTAACAGAGGACCTGCAAACGTAAGAAATTCGTAACTTGATGTACTACTTAATATTTCCTCATCGTAATTAACGGACACAGTATACTGACCTGAGGCTAAGCAATCATTCAAAGGAGCCACTGTCATCTGATGTTTTTATCTTGAGGTTTAAAAACAAACAAGAATAAAGTTGGAAGAGATGGAAATTTGTTTTTGTTTCTCTACAAATTGGTATTTTCTAAAAGAAGGACTAAAACAAAAATTCCACATACAAAGAATTTAGGAGGTAAGCCTGATGGGGAGCGAAACAGACAATCTAATTCAAGTTCAAGTAGCATTTCTATAAATAGGTAGAGTTAAACATTTAAAGAAAAACAGGGCTCTACAATAGAGGGGCGGTAAACAAATGACAGAAGCTGTGAGAAAATACTTATCCATTTAATACAACTGGTGTCTGCCAGCTTTGGCAGAGAGCACAGATTCTTGCCTAGCTTTGACCCCAGGCACCTGCCGTGGTGCAAGAGCCCTGGGAAAAGAACCAACCAGTCACAGGTCTGCTAAGGGGACCACCAGGGAAGACCAGGACAGCAGTGAGACAAGGCTGTCCAGACCAGGCTGTCCAGTCATTCTATTCCCTGCACAGTGGTGACATGATAATGGAAGGAACAAGTTTGGGCAAACCAGTTTGGTAACACAGTAAGACAACCCCAATATATATGTCCCTTTTGTAAATACACATCCATCCAAGTCTGTCTGCTTAAGAACTTTCTGGGTGAGGCAGGCAAGTAGCTGCTTCGTCTGGCTCTGGTCAAACCAGTATAATTAATTAATCATGGAGTTGCATATCTACATCGCCCTGCCTTTACTGCAAGCCGCCACTCCTTCACCAAAAAAATTGTGGACTGGGAAGCTTGCAGTCTGCAGCAAGAGATTTTCGTAGAAGTAGTCAAAGCCATAGCGCCGAGAGCAGGATGTGAAGGAAGTGGTTGGGATGCCTTTGCTGACGCCAGACATGAAATGGAGTCAGCCTGCTTGAAGTTCGAGAGTGGCCTGATCCACCTGATGGATGACCCACAAATTAAATAGACCATTTTAGGGGAGTGCTTAGAGTTAGATGAACTAAAACTTCTTTTCTGATATTTTCTGATTAGGAGATACCCACAAGACAGCCCAGTGTCAGAAGAGAGGCTGGTCTCTGGGAAATGTATTACTTGAGCTGTGCTTTGAATTATTAAATTTTTAATTCAAAAAATTGGGTATGGGGCTTCCCTGGTGGCGCAGTGGTTGAGAGTCCGCCTGCCAATGCAGGGGACATGGGTTCGTGCCCCGGTCCGGGAAGATCCCACATGCCGCGGAGCGGCTGGGCCCATGAGCCATGGCCGCTGAGCCTGCGCATCCGGAGCCTGTGCTCCACAACGGGAGAGGCCACAACAGTGAAAGGCCCGCATACAGCAAAAAAAAAAAAATTGGGTATGTCTTTTCTCTCCAACTGGATCTCTGTTATCCCTAGCATTTAGCTTTTAAAGACAGCCTTTAGCAAGGCCCTGCTCAGAGGAAAGAACGAAGAGTCACAGAGGACATTTTTAAGATTTGAAAGAAAATTCATTGAAAATAATTTTAAATAGCTTCTTCTGAAAGAGGATGTAAAATAACGGTATGCTTGTGGATTATACCTCCATACTTTTTCCTTTTTTATCATCATAAATCAGAAAATTAAAAAATTTTGAGCAATGTTCAAAAGGCAATAGAAATACTTTAATGGCTTTGAAGGCCCAGCAGAAATTAAAACACTTCTGTCAGGGGCTTCCCTGGTGGCGCAGTGGTTGAGAGTCCGCCTGCCGATGCAGGGGACATGGGTTCGTGCCCCGGTCCGGGAGGATCCCACATGCCGCGGAGCGGCTGGGCCCGGGAGCCATGGCCGCCGAGCCTGCGCGTCCAGAGCCTGTGCTCCGCAACGGGAGAGACCACAGCAGTGAGAGGCCCGCGTACCGCACAAAAAAAAAAAACAAAACAAAACAAAAAAAAACACTTCTGTCAGGATATAAGAATTAAAGAAATTGTGACTTTTGAGAAAGATGCACAGATGTTCTTTGAACTCCAGGCCATAAACTGGCTCACAGGCTTGCTGCAGTCTGACGCTGTATCTGTCAGAGTTCCTAGTAACAAATAACAGAATCTACTTTGGCTGGTTTAAGCAGAGAAGGATTTATTAAAAGTTATGTGAAGTAGCTCATAGAATCTTTGAAAGGGACAAGAAGACCTGAAGCCATCTGACCAGGAATCCCAGCCATCCTATGGGATTCTCTAGAGAAACATCACTGCTAACTCTACTCAGCATCATCTCTTGGGACCAAATACCAGAAGCTTCCACCATTGCCCCAGATGAAGTGGACATCATTGCCCCACCACACCCAGAAAACTGACTCTCCCCCACGTGCGGCCATCTCCTCCCACTGCTGTCTTCTGAATCAAGTCTCTTAAGGGTGGACCCAACTGACAGAACCTGTCACACACAGGCATCCCAGGTGCAAGAGTCCAGGGACATGGACTGACAATAATGTGGAACAGAAGAGATCGTGGGGCAAGCTACATGAACCACCACCAGCCACACCAAAGCCCGGTCTTCATCCAAAGAAGGTGATGTTGTGTATAGGGTGGGATTGGAAGGGAGTCCTCTATTATGACCTCCTTCCGGAAAATCAGACGATTAATTCCAACAAGTACCGCTCCCAGTTAGACCAACCAAAAGCAGCACTCGACGAAAGGTGTCCAAAATTAGTCAAGAGAAAATGCATAATCTTCCATCAGGATAACGCAAGGTGAGAAGCTATCAGAATGTAGAGAGAATGTTCAAAGGTGACGGGCAGCCACAAATGACTAAAGTCCAATATGAATCCCAATCTACCTCTTTCATCCACATTTCTTCTTTCAACCCTCCATTCTAGGCAGCCCGATCTCTTTATTATTCCCCATGCATCCTACTGCCCGGCCTTACAATATGAGGCTTATTTAAGTAGCCTACTGAAGATCACACAATGACTAAGAAGTAAAAACTCTGCATTTGAATCAAGTCTATTCTGACATCCTGGGTTTGCATCTCAGTCATGTGTTGAGAGTAAACTTAAAGTCTACCCTTCACGCTGTCCCCAAGCACCAAGTTCTCTATACTAGCTACTTAGTACCAGGTACGAAGCAGATAGTAATTTAATTCACTTCAACTGTTATGTTTTTAATGCTTGGAATGGAGTCTTAGATCAGCCACCTAGAAATTATGTAATGTTGGACAAATTACTTAACCCTCTGAGTCTGTTTCCTCATCCACAAAGTGAAATGATGAGTTTCTCACAGAGTTGATGTGATGACACTTTTTGGAAACAGGGCACAAGCTTGGACTGGAATAGACACACAATGAATATCAGGTCCACACATCAAGGAGACGAGAACAAGCCTTATGTTACTGGAGTAAGCAGGTGCCTAGCTGTATGATTACCAAGGTCCCAGGAAGCCCTTCCAGCCCTCAACCAGTCCCCTTACACACACACACACACACACACACACAGCTCACTGATGACTGAAGTCAGGGAGATGCCGGGATCCAGCCATGAGAAATGAGGTTGACAAGATCATGGATTTGAATAACCCACTTTGAGACAGAAGTAAGGGTTATGAGGTCCCATTCTGAGAGCAGTGGTACAGGAAGAGGAGGGAAGAAGGTAAAGGATGCTGGACGGGCTAGTGGTGGCAGGAGATGGGCACCACAGAGGGCCGTCGAGAAGTGAAAAGGGATGTGGTGGCCACTGAAGTGGCCCAGACATCCCTCAAAGGGACAAACGACAAACTCTGCTTGACCAGTGTGAAGAGTGAGCGGTGAGTATAAATGACCCAGAAGACCCAGGACAGGAATCACAGAAGACTGGAAAACCCTGATGGCCGACATGCCTATTTCACCTTATAAAGGGAACAAACCACCCACAACTCCTTGGCACAGGCAGTCCCAGGTAGGGGATGGGGGGAGCAGGAGAGATTTCACTCTATTTGGACCTCAGGGCAAAGGGTTGAGTCTATCATTCCTGGCCTATCAAAGACCCAATCTACGTGTACTCCCTCATCTCCTATGTATCACCTTACAATAAACAACCCTCCACAGGAACCCTCTATTTCTTATGACCAAAAGCAAAACAAACAACAAGAACACTATCTAAAATAGTGGCCTGAGCCAGGAACCCTTGAGAGAAAGAATGGCCATGTGAAGACTTCATGGCATGCCCAAAACACACATGCTCTGCCATCCCTCTCTGTCCTTGTGTGAATGCCCTTCATCCTTGTCACCACCTAGCAGACTCCTACTCATCCATCAAGACCCAGCTTAATTATTTACTGCCTTCTGTGCAAGCCTTCCTCCAGGACTACAGGAGGATTCAGCCATTCCCTCCCCAGCTGCAAGAGGTTTTCATGTTTCCATCCACTACAGTGTTTGCCTGTCTCCCCAACTAGGAAGTAAACTCTTCCTTTATTTTGTCACGTCATACTCCTCTGTGTACTATGGACTGTAGGCTATGACACGCACTGTGGTCCGTTAACCCTTCTAGCTCCAGCAGCAAACGCAATACATGGTACAGAGATGATGCCCAACAGGTACTGACAGTGACCAGCCCTGATCTCAGCTCTACTTTCCCCTTTGTTGCGCTTGTTTTTCCCAAGAAGTCCTGGGCTGGGGGTCTGCTCACATGGAGGTCTCTATAGCTTCAGAAATCTTGATTCCCCTTGCTGCCTTGATCTGGCCTTGCACTGAGAACATCAACGTCTACCAGTTTCTTTTAAGCTAATAAAGGTGTGTCTGCAGAATTCAAACCCCGTCCGGCCAGCGGCAAGAACTCTGTCTTCCTAAAGTGAAAGGTCGGGCACCTCTTGTGTCCCACCTCCCGTGTTCCTAGTTCACTTTTTGACCCAGCCCTTGCTGCGGCACCAACCGTGTCCAGGAATTATCTGGCAATCTCGTGTCTCATCCACACCCACATCTCTCACGTTTTCCATCACAGCCTCATCCAGCCATCTTGACACAGGTGCAAACCTAGAAGGAAAAGGGAATTAACACCCCATGGGACAACCCTGACCATCAGAAGACAGGAGCCAGTGAAAACAATGCCCCACCCTTTCATGTCTCAGTGGATTTTAAGGTGCCTTCCACACAGCTCTTAAAGGTCCCCAATGGGATTGCATTCCAGTTGCCCTCATCAGTAACCGGGGAACAATACACCCTCCAACTAGCTTTCCAATCTTCCCAATTTCCCTGTCTTACCCCCCCACACACACAACACACTCCTTGAAATTACTTCCCTAAATAAGCTACCTGCAAACAAGCCCTCATCCCAGGGCTCTGCTAAGACACGAGTTCACAATGGTTTGGATTGGAAAGTGCACGGGGAGTCAAACCGTCCACCGCAACAACTGCTCTCCTCTGCAGGTCAGCTTGGAAACAAGTCCCATTGTTATGAGGATTATGGAAGGAGCTGGTATCTAGCAGGCTCTCTTGGCTGGAAAAGCCCACACCTCTCGCTCCCAGAGAGGAAAATAACCCCAACTTTGAAATATGTGAGTCTGAAGAACTATCTTTGTATGGCAAGGCCATCTCCTACATCTAACTTGGCTCAGTATCCATAGCTAAGATACATGAATCCTCTCTTCTAAAGATGGCCCCCCATCGTCCAGTCCTTTCAGATGGTGGCTCCCAGTCACCTGGAGGCTTGTACGGCTTTTGCAAGGGCCCACGATAACTTATATGAGCATTGTGCTTTGTCTTCAGAGAGAATAAATGTCGCCTCGTTTTCATCTGACCAACTATGTATGTAGATGTGCTGTGATTAATCAAATAGAAATTCATTCCAAAATGTTACTGTATTATTTTCTCCGTCAATAATACATATCCTAGCATGAGGGGTATCTGCAAATTACTTTAACATTATAATGGGATGCCCATACTCCAAAAGCTTGACAACTCCTGCTTTAAGTGATATTAATATAAAACAATAATTGCTTAATAATATCTTCTGTGCATTGAATGCCTACATATATTATCTTAAACCTCTCAACAACCCTGCAAGACAGTATTATTAGTCTCGTTTTAGAGGTAAGAACACAGATTCAGAATGTGTAAGGGACTTGCCTAAGGCCACAGAGATAGTAAGTGATGAATGAAAGATCAAAAATCCAGGCTTCTGAAACCTTGTTGTCATTATCACTCATTCATTCATCTACTCACTGAACAGGCATGTTTGGGGACGTGGCATGTGCTACAGACTTTGGGTAAACATAGTGATTACCCAACCTCTGCTCCTCAAAAAATGTTCCCTCTGCCAATTTAATTCAATTATTCTGTCTTTCTACTCAGTTTAAGCAGGTTGAAAGGGTAACAGAATCTGACCTTCTCTTTTGGCTTATTTTCACAGCCCCCAAGACCTATTCTGCCTATCCTTTTTCAAGGATTTCTTGTTTTTTTATTATCTGTTTGTTCTCTGGCCTTTATCTCACCTACAAAGGAAGATGAAAGAGGAAGTAGGCCCAGTGATTTGAGTCTCTCCAGCCACCCCGACCCCTTCCTTTTGTCTGGGAGGAGAGCTTGGGTCTATAGAGAGGAATCAAAAAGTTGGCTACAACAGGGCCCTGTCACGCCCAGCCAGGCTTCCTCGAGGCACGGAGTGGGAGCAAGAGAGAAATGCACGGTCACATTTCCCAAGTGTGCCCTTCTCGTTCCAAAACCAGGGAGACATGCTTCCCTGGCCCCCTCCCCCATGCCTGCTCCCCTATTCACACCAAGTGACAGCCAACCGTGGGCGAGTCCTCCCTTTAAAATGCTACCAGTGAACAAACCCAGCAAACCCAGGCAGCCATCAACCTTGCCACTCACCAGAATGACCGTCAGCCCAGTGACACAGTAAGGCTGGACCGAATCGACTCTGAGTCACTTGAACTGTACGATTCACTAAGTACATTTATTTGTCACAATGGCTCTGGGTATTCCCTGACAGGGTGTCTCGTGATGAATGGCTGCTCGGGGGCAGAACGAACAGAAGTACTGTTCCCAGATCCATCAACAGATAGGACGTGGGTGAGCTAAGTGCCAAGAGAATCACAAGACATCTCCAGGAAATATTCTCGGGGACACCTTTGCTGTCACAGTGGCAAGAGAAGCTCAGCATTACAGCACCTGAATCTGGTTTTGATCAGCGCTGCCTCCTCTCGAGTCCAAGAAAGGCTAATGACAAAACACACCTGGCCCGGCTGCTAGGTTAACTACCGGCTCCATTAGATGGGGTTCTTGAGTCTTAAAGGAGCTGTGTGGCAAATGCTCTTTGCCTCAGCAATTCAGCTCTTCTGGGGATATATCTTAAGGCATGCAGACATTTCACTACAAAGCTGTTCATCGCAGCATGACGATGATGGTGATGATGACGACAGCAGGTCAAGCTTGGCACTGGTCGATGCACTTCATGTCTATTAACTCAGTTTATCTTCATAACAACCCCATCACGTAAATGCTGTTATTGTTACCACTTTACAAATGAGGAAACGGAAACATCAGTTAATAAATTTCTCACTATTACACAGCCAGTAAGAGGCAGAACTGGGCACGTGGCCCTGGCGGTCTGATTTCAGAGACTGCTCTCTTAACCAACTATGCTATTTGCAAGAAGCCAATCATCCTGGTGTGTTTCGTCTTTCAACTATGCAGAACTTTCCAATTTACACCTTTTAGTCCTCAAGAAAGAATAACAGAGAATCAGTAATGATATTCCTATAACAGAATTACCAAGCTATCTTTGGGGAGAAATAATATAATCCTCAGGCAGAGTAAGACATAGTTCGCTTTTCTGAAGTATATTTAAGCTACTCTGGCTTCCTGGCTTGCAACAGCCTGCTGTATTCTCACATGGTGAAGGGAGAGGTCATCTCTGTCACGTCTCTTCTTCTAAGGGCACTAATTCCAGTCTTAAGGGCTCCACCCTCATGACCTTAGTACCTCCCAAAGGCCCCACCTCCAATTCCTATCACACAGAGGGTTAGGTCTTCAATTACATGAATGTTAGGGGGACACAACATTCAGTCCATAGCACCAAGACTCAGAGAAGTTAAGAAATGTGTTCAAAGTCACACAGCCAGTGAGTGGTAGAGCCAAAGTTCAAATGTTGTGAACCCAAAACTCAACATTCTTTCTACCATTTTATGTTTCTAAAGGACCACGAGAGTTTGTACCTAAAAAAAAGCACCAATGCAAACTAGCTTTAATACTTAATCCCATGGTCTTATGAAAACCAATAAATGCCTACCCTCCAAGTACCTGAGAGCTTCCATGAACGACATGACCTAAAAATGGAGATGATTCGCATCCCTTACTTATATTTCGTCTCAGACGATCCCAATAAAAAGTAGCTCAAGATCCCAACCTTTGCACCCAGTTACTTCACTCTTCTCTTTACCACTATTGACGGCCACAAATATTAAGTTTTAGTGAATCCTCTATGATTTCTTTTGATAAACAAGGATATAACTCTAAGGTGGATTTCCGCAGAATGCAATGCCTGTAATGCTAGATTTTGTTGATCTATTCATGGAAGTGCTGTGATGGCCTTCTCGGTTAATGAACTATTTCAACCGTGCCTTAGCACACCCTCTGTTCTAAGGATATTCACTGCCAGGTAAACACCCCATTCTGAACGATACCACCACATAAACAAACTGCACTGAGCACAAAAACCCACCGGTCTGGGCTGGCAGCAGGAGATAGCCAGGGATGCGGGGTTTGAGAATATGAGCTCTACAGGCTACTCTCTGGAGTGTACTGCAGGGTCCGAGTCCTGCTCTTCAGAAGCCTGGCAGCTGGAATAAATGCATTTCCACAGATTATTTCAACCTGCAATTTGCATAAATCTGATTCCTTCTACAATGTTTGGCTATTTCAGTGGTGCGGCAGTACCAGCCCTCCACTGGAGCACTGAACTCCCAGCGCTTTTTAACTTCTGCTTCCCTCACCTCCCCCTGCCCTGAAAAGCTATTTCCCAAAATTTCCTTTACGGTCACCTTCTGTCCTCGTTCTCCCTTGGATAGCATTACCCCTCTGACACTGTCAGAATTCTCCCCAGAGACCCAGGGAATGGGTCTTAGAAATGTACTTGTGCAATCACCCCGTCTTGGTTCTGCTTCAGTCAATACGCTTGGGGCACAAGTTATTAAAAAGTGTATTACCGACTTGACCTTAGGCTTGGAAAGTACAAAGGAGGCTGCTCTTGACACAGCCAGCGGAGACGCTGAAAATAATCAAGCCCGGGATGGGAACGTTTCCATTTCATCCTTTTCAGAGTTTCCGAAGGTAAACCGTGCCAGGCAATCAGAATTACCAGGAAGTGTCTGCAGAATTGTCCTGGAGGCCCTTCTCTTCTGGAATCCAAACTGTCACCAGCACATGGAGCCGGCTGACGTATGAAGAGTGGGATGGGGGCCTCTGGTATTCTGCGAAGGCGGCGGCGCACGCTGGGGGCCCCCTGGGCGGGCGTGCTGGCGACTCTGGGCTCTGCCAGGCTTGCTCTCCCTGCAGCTTGCCCCTGCCTCCCAGCAGGAGCGACCCGGGCTTGGAAAAGGTT